TAAATTAAAATTTCATCTTAGTTAATTATTACATTTGACAAAAAATTTGAATTTCAAAAATAAAATATTGTAAAAAATAAAAATATATGTACTATATTTAACTTTTTCAAAAGTTTAGAGGTCCGTTGTTCTAGTTAATGAAATGTTTGTCAAGTAAACCATTTTGAAACAAATTTGATAGTTTATAGATGATTTTGAAAGAAAAAATTGTTTTTAGACTAAATTAAAATAAATTACATAGCTAATAGACTATTTATTGAATTTAGCCCAAGAATTTCTATAAAGTAACCGGTGTGAATATGGGCCTACAGTTTCTGTTGGGCTAATGCAGGGGATCATATCAAGCTGGAAATGGGCTGGGCTGAGTAGACCAACAAGATACCTTTTTGGGTCGGGCTTAGTAGAGGGCTAGGGGGCTGGGGCTCGATAAGTGAATTCAGCAGCCTCTTCAACCATAGCTTATCAACTGACATGCACAACCTAGTGGTTTATGTAGACAGGGTTTCCTGACCCTCAAGTTTTTAGTGCAACTGTGGTTTACTGCTCCTATTATGTGTTGATTAGGGGTAATGCACGGTCTAATGATAGACAATTTAAGATGTTAATGGGAAATATCGACAAATAAAAGAAATATTAAATTTGTTATGTGACTGTTTAAAAAAATTTGTCTTGTGCCAACAACTTAAAAGGTCTAGTAATAATCTCTCCCCTTGGATTAGTTGATGATTTAGGATCTTGTTTAAGTCCTACATTTCTGGCACAACTTTTGGGTGGAGTTACTCTAAGTCATAATAAAATGATACTTCATGATGGTGGTGTTGCCTTTGCAAAAGAATATCCAACCACTCCATTTTCCACATATACTTAATTATTTAAGCTTAATATTCCATTCCCCACTTGCAAAAGGCATCACATAAGCAAAGATTAATGATGCAAATACCATTTTTGCTTCTATTAATTCTTAGAATGTGTTTCTTAAAAGAAGAGGGAAAGAACAGAGTAGTAAGAAAAAGCTGCTGAAAGAAAAAGAGATTATTTGACTTTAAACATCACGGGTCCTCATCAAAACTACTCATTTTGCCCAGTGCCATGCTGCTCCCTTGCTTCTCAAGCAAAGCAAACATATCATTCTAGGATCTTTGGGAACACATATTTTTTTGACATTTGGGATTATTTCAGGAAGTTTAAGAAATGTGGGAATCCAATGTCCTAGGGTTCATCATATTCTCACCTTCCTTGCATTTAGTAGGAGGAGGTGGGATATTTGGGAACACATCACGTGCTCAATCAATGACATGTAACTAACTAAATAGCCCATGTAGGGCGACAACTTAAGTTATATTTCTGCTAATTGACAGCTTCTACAGCATGGAAAGGCCAATTATTTTCCCTCTTATTCAATATGAGGAAAACTGCCTGTCAGAACACGAAAAAAAATATAATAATAAGTTTTATGAATAAAAAAATAACGGTTTAATTTTTTTTTAATGAGATTTAATTTAATTTTAAATTAATAAAAATTTAACATAATTTTTAAATATTAAAAATTAATAAATATAATAATGTTTTGATAATTTCAAAAGCCAAATTGTACTTTTTCAGGCATTCTGTACTGGAAAAACGCCAAATTTGTTGCCTATTGAAGTTCGTTGGTTATGGGAATTCACTTTTGAGCTGGCATCTTTTATTAGATTTGGGACTTGGGACTCCCCTGCTTTCACAGGTTCTCTGTTTTCTTTGCTTCTTTACATTTTTTACCTTTTCCATTTTGCCAGTGACACTGCCCCACAAAGAGCAGCCTTTGTACTTTCAAGCCAAAGCTGTTTAGACAATGAACCCACCTAATCCCGACACTAAGGAGGCGACTTTAAAAAACATACAACATAATAATCTCCAGATTCTAAAGATTTACCCCATCTTGTTTGTTTCACCCATGGCTTGACTGTTTAAATAATTTTTTGAATAAAGCTAATCAGAGAATATAATCACTAGAAATTTTTTTAAAATATTGTTAGGTTAAATGTGAATTTTGGTCTTTTAATTTTGAATTTTTGTAAAATTTTAGTTTTTTAGTCCATTAATTATGAAATATATATTTTTAATCATTTTGTTAATTAATTTGTTAAGTATATCCTTATATATTCATTTTTAACCTCTAAACTTTTAAGTTGAGGGATAAAAATTATATAAAATCTTAAAGTTGAGGATTAAAAATGCATATACATATATATAAGCAAACATGACAAACTAATAGATAAAATAACTAAAAATATATATATTTTTCATAATTAAGGAGTTAAAAAAGTGTAAAGAAAAGTTAAGAGACTAAAACTATATAAAAATCTAAAGTTGAGAGATTAACATTAACATTTAACTATATTGTTAAATAATACATGGAAAGAATGAATAAATTATCATAAGTTATTTGCATCACATAACAGTATTGTTTGAGTGAGATATGCTAAAAAGTTCAGTTAATATAATCATAAAAGAAATTTAGACTTTCAAAAATCCTCAGGAGATGATGAGCACTGCACTTTTAAATTGTACTCGAATAACATAACTTGCACAAGCATCAACTAAACATATGGTGTTGCTCACCAACTAAGTTCTAGGTTTCCAACTTTCCATGACTAAATTTTGCTAAAAGAGAAAGTGTTCGATTGTGGAGAATTGGTCAAAAGCAGAGAATTGTACTCCCCTTAGTCCCCAACTTGGTTTCATAATTAAATTTGGCACGAGTTTTTTTTTATTACCAAAAAAAATATTTTTTGCCACGAAAAGGGGCAGTCCTTTTCGAGTTCTTCAATACAAAAACAAGAAGAAACAAGGGTGAAGTGACCCTTTGGTAACTGTTTTTAAAGACTAAAATTAATTTTAGTCATGCTACCCACACTTCGGCCACTGATTGGCTGAGTACACACTATGTTACTATTCATAATTAAAAAATGGGTAGGATATATTTACTTATAATATTTATATAAAAATTCAATTATTTATATTTTTAATAATTAAAATTTGTTATTATTTTTTAAATAAAAAGATAATTATTTATATTTTTAATAATTAAAATTTATTATAATTTTTTAAATAAAAGATAATTATTTATATAAATATAATAAAAAATAATTAATTGAAATTTTATATAAATAAAAAATGTATTATTTACATATATAAATAAATGAATAATACTTATCCACCTTATCTAATAAAGATTATAAAGAATATTATTCTAAAATTACGTTATTTTAATAAACATCTATTGAAAAATATAAAAATATCTTATTTTTAAAACATAAATTATGGTATTTTTTATTTTCTTTTCTCTTAATTTTTTAAAGATAAAACAAATAAGCATTAATCTTTTTTATAAATAAATCTTTACTCTAAAAAAAACTTAAAGAAATGCGTTGACACTCTGCCAATTAGAGGGGGGAAGTGTAGATGGTATTCCTCTTGATTTTATTAAGCGCCTTAATAAAAACAAAAAAAAAGAAAAAAAGAAAAAAAGAAAACTCAATTGTTGAAGGCTATTTCTGATATTATATTTTGGCATTATGGAAGTCAGCTCATTATAGTTGGTAGTTAGTCTAACCGACAGATCGGTGTCCATTTCTCCTTTTTATTACTCATTGCCAAGTCCATCCATCACTAGGTAGTGCGTCTCTGATATGGTGCAGTGCACAAGTTGAGACCCTACAACATTGACATTAAATTGTAAATTTGAGTTCATCTTATATAAATAAATGTTATAATTTTAAATCAGATCTTTAGATTCAATAATTTGTTCTCAAATTTTAATATATGGGTTTAATTGATTGAAAATTTGACTCTTATTAATTATTTCAAAAAAATCCCACATTTCCTCATAATTCTCCAATGTTCCAAAAAAAAAAAAAAACTATAATTTTAAATTGTAATAGATGATATCCAAATAACAATGGATGTTCTCAAAATTAGGATAGGATAACACTGAGAAGGTTGGTTCTTCGAGAGTTGTACTTATTTATTTATTTTATAAGGTATAGGTTAAGAAAATAATTAATATATTTCTTTATTAAGTTATATATAAAAAGTAAAGTTTGATTTTAATTTTAACAACTAACCAATTAAATTAAAATATGTGATATTTATATGAAAATTTATATTATTTTTTATATGAATTAATAGTTAAAAATATATTAATTATACTTTTAACTTGTATTCTGAAAGCACAAATTAAAAAAAAAATCCTTTTTATATATCACAAGATTTTTTGTATATATCCCAAGAATCTCTCTTATAATTAAGATGTTTAGTAGCTAACTCTTGAAGTATTTAAAAAATTATCTTTTACATTCCTTAAAACTTTGCTTAATTAATTAGTGATTATAGGTGTCACAAACTTTTCAGTTTCCACCCACTTCCTAAATATTTTTTCAATGCTTTTTTTCGTTTATTATTTTAATTTGTATAATAAGAAGTAAGTATATTCCACTTCTTAATTTATTTCACTCACATTATATGTTAATTAAGTTATTAAAAAAATATTATTATTAAATTATTTAAGTCATTCTCATATATATATATATATATTTAAAGACTAAGTTTTGCTACCATCTAAATTGATGAAGTTAACAATTTAATTATAATTTTTTAAACAGTTAATTATTATATTGAAAAATATTTATTTATAAATTAATTTTAATATATTTAATAATAAATATTAATTAATTTATTAATTATTATT